CCCAAAGGATTTCCGTTCATTAACCCCTTCCTCCCCACAGGGTTCCCAGTGTTTGCCTGGAAGGGCGAATCTGAGGACGATTTCTGGTGGTGCATCGACCGCTGCGTCAACGTGGAGGGCTGGCAGCCCAACATGGTGAGAGAAACGCCCGAAATCCCCAAAAAAATGGGAAAAATCCCATTAAAAACCCCACGAAAACCTCATGAAAAACCCCATGAAAAATCCCATAAAAAACCCATGAAAAACTCCCGTGAAAAACCCCATGAAAAGCCCCATGAAAAACTCATGAAAACCCCATGGGCAGGGGCAGCTTTGGGGTTTCCTGACTGTTTTAGGCCTGGCTTAGCTCAGCGCCAGCGGAGAACATCCTATAGGAATATTCCAGAGCAAACCCCAGATTTTTCAGGAAAAAACACAGATTTTTCAGGGATAAAACCCAGATTTTCCGGGGGAAAAAACCCCCAGATTTTTCCAGAACAAACCCCAGATTTTTCAGAAAAAAAAATCCCGATTTTTCTAGGAAAAAAAACCCAGATTGATGAGCGTGATGATGATGATGATGATGATGATGAGATGATCATATGATGATGATGATATGATGATGATGATATGATGATGATGATATGATGATGATGGTGATGATGATATGATGATGGTGATGATGGTGATGATGGTTGTGATGGTGATGATGGTGATGAAGAAGTGGGAGCTCTTTGACCCAGGTGTATGAAATACACAAAGAGGAGGAGGAGGACAGTGACAAATGTTTGACATCAGTGTAGGGAATGTGGGAAGAGGATGATGATGGTGATCATGGTGATGGTGATGATGATGATGATGATGGTGATGGTGATGATGATGATGATGATGGTGATGCTGCAGTTGGAATTCCTTGCATTGGAGTAGGGAACAAGCAAAGAAGAGGATGATGATGATGAGAATGATGGTGATGAGGATGACAATGATGATGATGATGATAATGATAATGATAATGATAATGACTGGGGATGATGACGATGAGGATAACGATGGTGACTCTGATGATGATGGTGACTGAGGATGATGATGATGATGGTGGCTCTAGGGATGATGATGGTGACAATGGTGGTGATGACGATAACTCTGGGGATGATGATGATGATGGTGGTGATGAATGATGACTGATGATGATGGTGACTCTGAGGATGATGATGATGATGATAATGATAATGATTGGGGATGATGACAGAGATCATAACGATGATGGTGACTGATAATGATGATGGTGATGATGACTGAGGATGATGATGATGATGACTCTGAGAATGATGGTGATGATGATGATGATGGTGATGGTGATGCTGACTGTGAGGATGAAGATAACTTGGGATGATGATGGTGACTCTGAGGATGATGATGGTGGCTCTGATGATGATGACGATGATGATGATGACTGTAACAATGATGATGATGATGGTGACTGATATTGATGATGACTCTGAGGATGATGGTGATGATGATGATGATGGTGATAATGATAATGATTGTGGTGACTGAGGATGACAATGATGATGATGGTGATGATGATGGTGACTGATTATGGTGATGATGATGGTGACTGGGGATGATGACAATGATAATAATAATGATTATGGTGACTGAGGATGACAATGATGATGATGGTGACTCTGAGAATGATGATGGTGATGGTGATGATGACTCTGATGATGATAACGATGATGACTGTGATGATGATGATGGTGATGATGAATGATGACTCTGAGGACTATAATGATGACGATGATGATGATGACAATGACGATGATGATGCTGACTCTGATGATGAAGATGGCCGCCGTGCCCTCACCCTGCATCCCCGAGCTCTCCCCATTTTCTCCTCAATCCAACCAGGACTCCCCCATTTCCCCCCATCCCGATCCCTCCTGTGGGGCAGCAGCCCTTGGCCCCATACACCTTTGGGGTTTTTCCTTTTCTGGAACCTTCTCCAGGGGATCCCTGTGAGCTCAGTGCCTCCTCTGTGCCATTCCCATCATTCCCCCACACCCAGCCCCGCTCAGGCTCTTGGGCCTCTCTTTTCCCTGAAATTCCGAGATTTTCCCACCCGCCCTTCCCAAATTTTTCCAGAGGGCTCCTCTCCTCGCTCACATTTTCATCCCTCGTGGCCATTTCTGTTGCAGATCCTGGACGATGGTGGAGACCTCACCCACTGGATCTACAAGAAATATCCCAACATGTTCAAGAAGATCAAGGGCATCGTGGAGGAGAGCGTCACCGGGGTGCACAGGTAACGGGAACGCCACCAGCCCGGAGAAATCCCGTAAAAACTCAGTCCCTGCTCTGTAAAATGCCAAACTCAGGTTTTTCCCCATGGATAATCCCATTTTCCCCCTTGGATAATCCCCTTTTCAATCCCATTTTCCCCATAGATATTCCCATTTTTCCATGAATAATCCCATTTTTCCCA